TTCGCCATAAGCTCGCTGAACTTCAAAATTAAAAATGAGTTTAGATATGGTGATTTCCTTTGTGTCTGCCGAAGTCACATGCTCTGCGTACTTTACGTTGTTTCTAATATCTTTCTCCATTGCTGTTGTAAGCCAGCCTTTGATCATGGCGTCACAATGCTTCCAAACATCTCGTTGTGCCCCTGTATTTGGCATCTTGATGCTCCCATCAACAAAACCGATCTTGTTCTTCGAGTACAGAAAATTAGTCATCTCTTGGGACCAATCCCCGTAATTTCCATCGTTCAGGCTGTCATTTACATGCATCGTCCATGGGTAATCGGATCCATGTAAATAATAAGGTGAGTTCGAATCTATCGTTGTTGATGAGGAGCCAGTAACTTCCTCATTGATTTTTGGTGATTCTGATCCCGTCATGTTGACAGAAACCAATCGTTGTGTGTGGTTTAGGGTTTTGTGGTGTGAACCTGCTCTGATACCATGTAAATTAGTATGTGAAAACCATGAGCCTTCTCATTGATAACTCAAATATTTACACAGGTACGTTGCATGACTTAAGGTAAGGAAGGATTCTGAGATCCTTTATAAAAGGAAAAGATAAAAACAAATATGCTGAGTAAATAATAAGATTTGATAGGACTCTATTTTTAGAAGAAGTTTGATTCCTTTCAAAAAGGGCAATTAAAGGGTATGGATCGATATTATTATTGTTCAATACATGATAATGGGAATTGTACTTCTAAAAATGATCCCCACTGTTCCATGATAAAGGGTGGTCTTAGTCGGAGCGTTGATTTTCTCAACCAAGACTCTGTTGAGAGTTGGGACAAGACGCTTCCACGACATGGCTGGCTAGCTAGGTGATACAGGATCGGCGGGAGGTTGTTGATTCGTTATAGCAGGGTCACACCGTGTCATTTGTTATAATCACACTGCATGTACAATCATCCTAATACAAGGACAAGGCATCCCACATTTGAAATTAAGATTATTCTAAAACATTATTGATTAAAGAAATATTGACCATGAAAATATTTGAGTAAAATGAAAGCTAAATATTCTAATTCTAATCTAAAAACTTATAAGCACAAATGATGGTTAGGGCATTTTAGGAATGATAAAAGTGTTGGTTTAACACTAAAGCAATTTACACTTGTACAATTTGTTTTAGTCATTGTACCATTCATCATTAAATTTAAATCTTCCCCTTAACTCCGTTAACTCCAACGTTTCCAACACAAACTTTTGAGTTTCCATTTAATTATTCTATGCACTTAGATTGATTTGATTTCCATTTAATGTTCTAATTGTTTTTTTCATTTTTTATTATGTATGTTACCTTACGCAAGAATTTCGAAAATCATTATTCTATTGTAATTATTTTAATTTGTCATTTCTAATTTAATTATTCATCTTATTTTTAGTGCTTATTTTTAGTTTTATATATATTTAAAAATTTTACCATTTCAAAAGTAGGTAGATTAAGAATAGTGATAGAGAATATAAATTATTGAGAGTATGATGAGAAAATATTGGAATAATGTGATAGAATGAAGGACAAATCCAAAAAAGTAGGTGTAATAGTGTTTTATTTTCAAAATTATTGAGGGTATGATGACAAGATTTAGAAATTGGAAGATTTTTCGTTAAGAACGAAAAAGGAAAGTGGGAATTGTTTTTTTCCCGAAGCAGGGGCAGGTACCCCCCATGGTCCCTAGCTCATCCACTGTCGATATCGTACTTTAGATGTTTAGTGCTATTGGATTCAAACATCAAAATGGCGTATATGTTCTAGCTAGGCCCTATAAACCTAATCATCCTGCCCACCCTTTCTTAGATTGTTTATTACCACATTATTGATATGACATTCTTATAGGGTGTTCTGGAACGATCCTTGTCAGGCTTACGGGAAAAGAGATGCTCACGCACCTTTTTAATCATCAGTTATGTGGGAAAATATGCATAAAACTAATCTTGTGTGCAATTTCACATAACTTAATTAAATATATTAATCATTAACATTCATATTATGTTAATCTTGTTAAAATAACATTGGGCCTTTTCCCTCGTGCATAGCGCGTTATAGAACTAGTTTGTTTGATAAAAATGGTGTCTTTCTTCTCCCGGCTATCTTTTACAATCATAATATAATTGTAAGAGCACTATTTTTTTAACAAAGAAAAAAGTTATTCATTTTTATGAGAAATACATTTTCTGAACTACATATTGTCAAAATAAGCACATTTTTGAATAATTTCAGCTACATATAAGATCTTTTTGCTAAATACTACCGACTTTCCCCTATTACGAATAGATGTCTTGTTTGGATTTGACAAACACACTTGGAAAATAGTTCAAAAGTAAAAGTAGATGTGGAGATTTTAATTGAAATTGGTTAAATAATATGAATCAGTTATTTCATCCCAAGACATTTATTTGAGATAATCCAAAAACAGAAAATAACACATTTATTTTGAGACAACGGGAGTAGGATTTCATCATCAATTGTTAAACATAGGATGTCTTGATGCTCAAATAAGTTTTTAAATTTTTATATTTTTAACTGCAAATTTCCGATGCTCAATACACATAAATATAGTCTCGATCGATGTTCAATAGTCGAGAATCCGGTATTCAATGAAGATGTTTTGGTATACTCAATTTGAGAGTTCTAATGCTCAATATAAATCATAATAATGATCAATAGTAGAGAACAAAATACTTAGTGAATTGAAAATGTTTTGATAAAATATAAGGATTCATTTCCAAATTTTGTATACTCAATTGTAGAATTCATATGTTCAATAGAGAAAGGTTGATGCTGAATGAACATGTCTTGATACTCAAATAATAGTTTATGATTTTCATATCAATCAATACTTCATCAGTATAATATTAAATTAGATTTGCATATTGAAATTCATAGGAGTATACATATACTTTAAGAAATTATTATAAAAGAAAAAATAAGAAAAAAGATTAAATGATATGAATCATATATCACGATGCTCAATATTAGACTCCTAATACTCAACAAAATATGTTGATTCTCATTAAAAGTTCATTAATGCTCATTTAACAGAAACTGTGGTTTCCATCTCAGTAAAGGAGATTTGATGCTCAATGAAAATGCCATGACGTTCAACTATCAAATTTTACGATTTTATTATCAATGCGCATTTTGTAAGTTGCATATTTATGTTCATTTGGTATCGATGCTTTATTTAATCATTTATAAAATTACATATCAATGAACATTTCAATGAACGGAAAAGATCAGGTCCAGCCGTCCCCTGTCCAGCTGCCATCCGAACTCCGCCGTTTGGGGCAGTTACTGGTAGAATTTTTTGATGAAATTTTTTGGAACATATTCTACATCAAGTATAGTTTGTGCATACCAAATTTCATCTCAAAATTTGATCGGGAAGACATTCAAATCATTTTTTAAAGTTGACTAAGTTTTTATATGTATATTTTGGCGTATTCATCTTCAAAAAATGATTTGAATGCCTTCCCTGTCGAATTTTGAGTTGAAATTTGGTATGGACAAATAAGACTTGATGAGGAACATGCTCAAAAAAATTCATCAAAACATTCCAGCGGGAACCGCCACAAAAGGTGGAATTCGGACGGCACCTCCCGTCCCTCCGGCTGGACCTGATCAGTTCTCTTTCAATGAAAGTACCATTACATTATATTCGCATATTAAAATTCATAAGAATTGCTTATAAATATAATTTAATAGGCCTGATGCTCATTAAAAACTCATTAATGCTCATTGAACAAAAATCGTGATTTTCATCTCAATAGAAGATGTTTGATGCTCAATGAAAATGTCGTAATGTTCATATCATTACACACTTTGTAAGTTATGTGTGCTCATTTAGTACTGACGTTATGCTCATTTTTAAAATTTCATATCAATGCTGATGAAATTAACGCTCAACATAATAGGTCTGATGCTTATTAAAAGTATATTAATGTTCATTTAACAGAAACTGTGATTTTGATTTCAATAGAGAATGTTTGCTGCTCATCAATGAAACTGCTGGGATGTTAAGCTAGTAACAAACCTTACAGTTTTCATATCAATGAACATTTTGTAAGTTATGTATGCTCATTTGGTAGTGGTGTTAAGCTCATTTTTAAAATGTCATAGCAATGCATATGTTAAAAGTATCGTATTACATTAAATTCACATATTCAAATTCATAGGAGTTAATTATAGATATAATTTATTAATTTAATAAGTTTTTATAAAAGAAAAAAATGAATTAGAACATATGAATTGATGGTCATTGTTAGCCTCCAAATACTCAATAGAATATATCAGATGCTCATTAAATGTACACCAATGCTCATTTAGCGGAAACCACAATTTTTCGCTTAAATTACAAAAATGCCACCGAAAAAAAAGTTGTAGTAATTAATGGGCTGTCTTAGTCAGTTGACCTGGATGCAGTGACGGATCTTGCAACTGGAAGTTGGGTGTTCAAACAAATTCATGGTTAAAATATTACACAATAATGTTTTTTGATCCCACAATTGAAGAAACATAATTTTTTCAACAACAAAAAACTAGCAAAAGGGTTAAGAGTAAAAAATACGGAGTATTATATAAAAATACAATACATAAATTATTATATCAATTTTATACAGATATTTTTACATTTTATTTTCAAAATTTTGGGTGTTCACCTGAACACCTTTGAACAAAGGAAGTCTGCCACTGCCCACTGGCTAGATGTACCTACACCTGGATGTAGGATGTAGGGGCGGGCCAAATATGTACATAAAAAACGTATACACAAAAACCACGTACCCCAAACATTTTTCAATTTCAATTACGAAGTATTAGTGTATTACTACTCCGTATTATTATTGATTATTGAAATAATTTCAATTATTATTACTCCGTATTACAGTATAATGCTCCCTATTACGGATGACGTTGTATAAAAAGAAGAAGACGGTTTTTACTGCCTGATTTTTGGCGCAGACAGGACCGAAAGACGTATAATGGGCAGCGTATTTCAAACTCTTTCTTCTTCCTCCTCGTGTTTTTGCCAACACATTTACAGTTCCGTTACTACTTCAATTTCTATTCAGAGTAAGCCGTCATCCTCCTCACCCTATAAGTATCACGCCGCCCCCACATATACGTTACAACAACTTCTGGTTTCTTTTCTTCCTCCACCGCCCCCTGACTCGATAATAAGCATATATCACGCAGCAGATTGCTAGATTACAGTCAGATCATCCGTTACCGATCAACTTCACTCCAGTGAAACTTTCCTGCAATTTCTTCGATCCAAGGTTTCTATCTGTGGATTCTTCTTCTTCTCGTTCCTCCTCAAGTAACCTGCATAAACACCAACTTCATGAATCATGATAATTCCTTGTTTTGTCGGTCGAATTTGTTTGGGTTTGTGATGTTTTATGCTTTCTTTAGTTTGATGGATCATCCCACCATTAACACTCTGTCAATAACTTGCTTTTACTTTGTGCTTTGAGCAATCCACTTAGATAGATCACTCTGCATTTTACGTTTTTTATGTAGCAAAGACTGAATCTTTTCTGGGTATAGTAGACGGCTACACTTCATGAATGAGTTTGTGTTTTAATTCATTTATTTTCAAAAAGATTCATTCTTTGTTCTGGGTATACAGCAAAAGTGATTAATTCTCTTCCGGCAGATGGCTAAATTTCATGAATGAGTATTTTTATAAATTTAATTTTTCATTGTGTTTTCATAGAGCATAATCATAGGGGGTTTAGATAATTATGAATGTGGGTACATGGTCTTAAAATGTCAAATTTGGTTTTCCAATAACAACACAAGGGGTGATTTCTTATAATCAAGTCCATCATTCATCTCAACTCATCATATATGCAACTCTCTTAATGAATATTATATATGTACTGCTGCGGCAGAGCTGCTAGTAGGGTGTGGTCAGAATAAGTTATTTGTTTCATATAGTAACTAATACTTTTACTACTTCCTAATAGACGGCCTTTTTTTATTTTTGGTGCATTTGTTTAGTATGAACTTTTATACCACTTGAGCAATCCACTTAGATATATCACTCCCAGTTGCTGCATTATTTTATCTCATTAGTTTAGGTGTGAAGCTGGAAACGTGCAGAGATGGATAGAGAGCAATTTCAACCGGGTTGCCTCCTCTTTGTCATGTTTCTCAGCCAATGATTAACTCATCATCATCATCATTGGTAAAAAGATTTTTTCTTTCTACCGGGTATAAAACAAAAGTCAAATCTCATCTGGGAATATGTCTAAATTTCATGAATGACTATTTCATTATAAATTTAATTTTTCCTTGTGTTTTCATATAGCAAAACTATACGGGCTTTAGATATTTCTGAATGGGGGTGCATGGTCTTAAAATGTCACATTTGTCTTTCAAAGAACCATATAAGGGATGATTTTTTATAATCAAGTCCAACGCTCATCTGGAAAGATGCAAAGAATGAATGTGGAATATGCAACTACTCTCTTTGAGCATTATATATATGTACTCTTGCAGAGCTGCTATTAAGTGTGGTCAGAATAGGTTACTTGTTGCATATAGTAACTAAATGCTTTTACTACATGCTAATATAATGTCTATTTTAATTAGCTCATTCTATACTATAATATAATACTCCGTAGTACTATATTAACTTTTATACCATTTAAGCAATCCACATAGAGAGATCATCACTCGTAGATGCTGCATTTTATGCTTTCTATGTGGGGTATATCGCAAAGTTAAACATTTATGGGTAGATGTCTATACTTCATGAATGAGTTCTTGTTTTTATTCATTTTTTGGTATAAAAAAAAATCTTTCTCAATTCTGGCCAAATTTCATGCAAAAATAAAATCTCTTCCAAGAATATGTCTAAATTTCATGAATGAGTATTTCTTTATAAACTTAATTTGTCTTTGTGTTTTCATATTGCAAAATCATATGGGGTTTATATAATTCTAAATGTGGGTGCATGGTCTTAAAATTTTAGATTCGTCTTTCAAAGAACCATATAAGGAATGATTTTTTATAATCAAGTCCATCATTCATATGGAAAGATGCAAAGTATGAATGTGGATTATGCAACTCTCTTTAAGCATTATATATGTACTACTGCAAAGGTGCTATGTGGTGTGGTCAGAATAGGTTACTTGTTGCATATAGTAACTAAATGCTTTTACTACTTCCTAATACAAGGTCTGTTTTAATTAGCTCATACTATAGTATCCTCCGTAGTATTAACTTCTATACCATTTGGGCAATCCACTTAGATAGATCACTCGTAGATGCTGCAGTTGCGCTTTCTATGCGTGGTATATACTTCGTGACTGAGTTTGTGTTCTTATTCATATATATGTAAAAAGATTTTTTCTTTCTGCTGGGTATATAGAAAGAGTCAAATCTCTTCTAGGCAGATGTCCAAATTTCATGAATGAGTTTTTTTTATAAATCTAATTTTTCTTTGTAACAAAATCATATGGGGTTTAGATAATTCTGAATGTGGGTGCATATGTCTTAAAATGTCATATTTGTCTTTCAAAGAACCATATAGGAGATGATTTTTTATAATCAAGTCCAGTCCAACATTCATCTTGAAAGATGTAAAATTTGAATGTCAAGCACTAAATATGAATTGCTGCCAAGCTGCTATATGGTTACTTGTTGCACATTATAACAAAATACTTTTTTACTACTCCCTAATAGAATGTCTGTTTTAATTAGTTCATACTATAGTATAATAGTATTAACTTTTATACTATAATACACTCTCTAAATCAATTCACTTTTACTACTTCCTAACTTGAACTTTTGTATTCTGTGTGTAAATTATTTCACTTTTACTACTTGACTTGAAGCTTGAATTTTCTTGATTAGGTGATCAATAACAAAGATACCTTTGGTTGAGGAGGCGAATAAAAAGAGTTTTATAAAAATGAATGATCAAGAATCAGATTCTGGATTCCTCAATCTTTTCGATGTAGACAAGTTCTTCTATTATTCATATGGAGAGAGTGGTCAGCCTGAAGCTGGAATTGGTCAACAACAACATACTGATGATGACACAGTTTACTATAACAACACCAATCTTGATGAGGAAATCGCTCATGCGTTGCAAAACCAGCTCTCAATTACAGGAGAATCTAGAGCTTACTATAACGAAGGGTGTTATCATGGCCAGCAATTCCCCAGCGATGATGGTGTCCAGTCATGGCAGGTTATTGATGACTATCCATCTAAGGATCATTTTTCTGGTACGGTTAAGTTTTCAATCTTTTTGTCCATATGCTCCTTACATATATTAGCATTACTATGCCATATCGATGAACTTTATTATATTATCAGGAACTAATAACGAAGTTCCAGAAGAGTCTATTTTCTTTGAACCATCTTCCTCTAGCCACCCTGTTGAATACAGACATTCAGGTGGTGAAGAACCCAACCAGACATTGGGAATAAAAAGTGAATCAGAGTTTGATGCTGATTTCACCAGGCAGCTCAATGAAGTTGATGTTGTTCCGGTGAGTAAACATTTTGTTGCAATTGTTTTTAAGGAATACTGGAATTGAAACTTATATTACACTCCTTTCATGCAGCTTGTTCCTAGAATAAATACACATATACCTTCAGAGGATGAAGCCACATCTCATAAAGAAAGGCTTCTAGACAGGTAATTGCTAGTCTTTGGAAAAGTTTTCAATAAGTAGACATTAATGATGTTTCTTAGACAAACTTCATTTTGAAGATTAAACTGGTTTTTCGTTATTACATTTAGGTGTAATGACTATTAAAGCACAAATGCAGAAATAGTGACAGTGTAATTTATGTGCATGTTTAGTGTAAGTACTGTGTCAGCTAATAACCTAAAAACAACAGAGATACTATAAATACCCAATTAGAAGTAATTGGACTGAAACGTTCTTTTCTTTTACAAGTTTATCGAAGTAAAAATTATGCACACTTCCTGAGAACTTTTCTTTTGGAAAAAGTCCTTTCATTTTTCATGATATATGCATAATTCTTCCTTTGGACATCTTGAAACTTTTTTGTTTTTCATTAAAGTTGTTAATGACTTTATAACATTTGCACATAGTTAATTTTACTTACTTTATCTTCTCACTTTCACTACTTCTGTTTTTAGATTGCAACGTTGTGGCCTGGTTGAGAACATAGTTAAAGGGGATGGGAACTGCCAGGTTATCTCCTTCACAGTTCCATTTAGTTGCATATTTCTTTCCCTTTCTGACGTTTAAGTAAAAACTGTTTTATTTGGGTTTTATATTCCAGTTCCGTGCTCTATCAGATCAGTTGTATCAGATGCCTGAACATCACAATTTTGTGAGACAACAAGTTGTTAATCAGGTAATTCTCAGCAGATCTTATTTTTACGAATACTTAATATGGATTTTCTTGAGGACCTATTTACTGTGATCTTCTATAATCTTCAATTCCATCAGCTTATGAATCACCCAGAGATGTATGAGGTGTATGTACCAATGGCTTATGACGATTATGTGAAGAGGATGATGGAGTACTACTCAGTTCTCCCTTGGTTTATTTTTCCCGTTTCTTTAGTTTTATACTGCTCTTATTTTAACTAAATAAGGTATGCATTTATTAATTACTATTAACAAATTCAGGGATGGAGAGTGGGGTGATCATGTAACATTAAAGGCTGCTGCTGACTTGGTATTAATCTGGATCTTCTTTACAAACAACTTTAAATTACATATAATAATATTTTGTAATAACATATATTGGTGATACTTTACTTGTTGGATAGTATGGTGTGAAGATTGTTGTCATAACATCATACAAGGATACATGTTTCATCGATATCCTTCCGAAGACGCAAAAGTCAAATAGAGGTAATTTCCTTTTGATTCTTCTAGATGTGGAAAGTGCATTTATTACATGGAGAGAAAATTTTCTATTTTAACTAACTGGAAAAATCAATAGAACAAATGAAAATAATGGCAGATTGTGCATTATATTGCAAGATATGCGTAGCTTGACTTCTACCTTTTCCAGTAAGAGAACCAATTTCCAGTAATAGAAGTGATTTGTTTCATCATCTCTTCTTCTATTGATCATATCTTCAAAGAGGAAAATGTGAGTGTTGCCTTAGTACACAAAGCTCTTATTAACATATTTCGAAAATGTCATACTTCATAAGAGTTTTGCATTAGTAAGACGCTAATACTTCAATGATGAACACATTGTCACTTTTTTGTTGTCGCGGTGTATATAGTATTGTCCTTTCAAAACTTTGTGCATATTGTGTGCGCTGTGTGTGTGGATCATGTGCATATTTTGTGCAATAGAATAAAAGATTTCTTTTACCAATTTGAGCATCAGTGTAACTTTTTTTATGGTAATGTGACAATTTGACCTTTTATCTCCCCATGCAGTCATATATTTGAGTTTTTGGGCGGAGGTGCACTATAATTCTATTTATCCTCATGAAGGAGGTATCGACCACTCGGATCAAGGGATTCATACTTCTGACGAAGTCCACTCTAGTTGCCCTCCTGCAGGTGAGTGTACATAGAAATATTTTTATTAGTTTAAAGTATGTCAAATTTATACTTCTGAGGAAGTAGTATTTCAAATTTTGTTAGAATGTACTCACTGATTGATTCATTAGTTCCTTCTCTAATCACTAGAAATGATTATTTCAGCTGCAAGTTCCCGTGTGCGAGACTTGAAGGTGAAGAAAAAGAAGTGGTGGAATTTATTAAAAAAGAAATAGAGGTAAATAGAGATATCATAGAAGGGAGCCATCTTTTTTCAATGACTTCATTTATCTCTCTCTCTCTCTCCCTCTCTCTCTCTCTCTCTTGATCGGTCAAGTCTTTCTTTTCTTATTCTTCTTCCTTTTATCTTCTTGAGCAGTTCATTTGATAAGTGCATGTGAGACTCTGAAAAGGGGGTTGCTCCACAAAAAGCTCAAAGATCGAATCTTTATTGGAGTTTTGTCAGTACAGGCTTGCCAGAAGAATGAATAACTCCGTGTTCTGTCCACAAAGCCACAGGTGTTTGTATTATGTGCTTTTTAGATGCCCCAAACAATTGGTTTGTTAGCTTTGATGATTATTAGGTTCTTTTTGTATCCCTATTATGTAGAGTTTATGCTACTCACCCACCTAGTTAATGTTCTTGATGTTCTTTTAACTGTCTTTTTTTATATTAGCATTTCTCTGGTGATTTGATTAAATGAGATTTTTTCTATTCCACAGTGCTGAAAAGAAGAGGGAAAGAAAGACAATGAAGTCAAATGTGCCACCCTCAACCTGCTCTATGTTTTCTTATGACACACCAGTATGTAGTTGTTTAATGCAGCTATTTATGCAGAGATGTTTGGTTATAGTACTTTGATGGTTGATGTGTAAAATGAGCTTTTCCATCTACATTTTTAGCCAATTGAAAGTTTTGTTAATCAAACATTAAAGCTCACTCACTGAAATAGTATTAAAAGCTAGTTTAGTTTGGAAGATCTAAAAGCATTCGAATAGACTCATTACAAACAAGGCCTTTGTCAATGGTCATTACCACAAGTCTTTTCTTGGATCTTACAACATAACCAGTCTGCTTTCTCCTTGATGGGTTGCAGGGAGGGGCACAATGTTTGTTTGGCAGAAGTGAATGTTGTTGAGCATGAAACCTTGTTTGGCTGCTGTGTAGAGGTTGATAAAAGGTAAATTCATTTTGTCCTATTTTTTATTTGTATATTTTTATACATTGTAAAGGAATCCTATTTTTTATATGATTATATGCATCTCTCTTAGTCTATTTGCTTGAAGGGATGAATTTTCAGCTTCACTGATTTGTTTGTTATTGGTATTACAAATGCCCCTAACACATAAATTTATGTTTTACTTCCAGACTTCGAATCATCAAATTATTTGTTAGATGAGAAACGGAGTGCAAAGCTTACAGACTTCGAGTTAGCTATACTTGGCCCGGTCCGCCCTCAAGATGGACCAACTCATGTCTCAAATCGCAATTGCTAGAAGACTCTCAATTCAAAACATATATATATAATTAAACTTTTGTACTTGAGTTTTACCGGGCAAATGCATTTTATTGTTGTATCGATCCAAATCCTAATGATATTAATATAAGCGGTTTTCCTTTAAAAAAAACTAGACAAAAACATTGTCATTTAAGTAATTTTATTTTAATTTGAACTAAAATTTTAAAGTGCGGGAATGAAGTCTTCAACACATAAATGTCTTCTATTGGAGCACGATTCTAAACTATGCACATTCCTATTTGCACGTCTCCAGCGTTCACTACTCAAAAGTATCATATTTATTAGCACGGTTGACCACATGTTTACAAAATAACGTATCTACTAACGTAACCTTTACAAATGAAAACATTAATTGTTTCCGAATAATAACATAGAGACATTTTATTGATGACAATAACACATAACATAGAAAATTTTAAGCCGAATATGAATATAGAAACATAACTCTCCTCATCCATGCATGATGTTGAAATAACCATTTTAGTTATGAACTAGCTAGTTCCACTTGGTCCCGAACCGTCATTATTGATTCAAACATATGAGAAGGGGCCATACAAGCTACCTCTATCCAATGGAGTGGCTAGGTTCCTTTGTTTCATAAGTTTGAGAAGAGATTGCTTCCAAGTTGTTTTATATTATCCAACTCATGCAATTGTAGATTTAAAATAAGTGGTCTACCTTTTTCAAGTTCACAATGAGCTTGACTTTCTTTCGTTAGATCAAGAACAAGAGATTCCATGTCACTTATTTGAGGTGTAATGATTCTCATGTTATCTTCATAATGTGCACGAATTATCTCATCGGTCACACCTGCCCGGCCTGGTGTAGCGTTTACACCAAAGTATTTGTTAAGTAGTACATCGACACTTGGGCTTCCAAAAGTATAAACCTTATCTGCAGGTGAAAATACCACCATAACAATATCCACACCACACATAGTAGACAACTCACTAGCTTTTTTGGATAGGCCAGAATGACGTTTGGTAAATGTTGACAATTAATCTCATTCTCAATTTTGGTGAGAGGGATCCTTTGGCGTCCCCTACTAACTCTCTTATTCTCATTATTGTTAGACATTCTCCAGAGCAATATGATATATTTGGTTGAAATAAAGTATTGAGAAAACTATATGGTGAAGGTGTAGATAGTTATAGATAGTATAATTTATAGATAACTATTCTTGTGGTGTGACGTTTGTAATTTCTTAAGACGTGATTATTATGGTATCAAAATAACATTCCCTCATATTTAAATCATGTTTTTTATTTTTCCAAAGTGCAGATTTTTAATATCTACTTCAGCATGATCCAAATATGCTTATAATATAAAACAATCATTACAACTTTAAATAATTTGTCATGTGGGAGTAAAACTAGTGCTTTTCATTTTATTAGATGTTGTTAAATACTTTTTTCATGAGAGATTAGATCTTTATTAATATTAACATTATTCCAAGAAATTTTAAAAACAATATACTAATTGGTTCAATTAAATTTGAGAAAATTCTCACCATAGAAGACAAAATTGACAAATAAAAATGCAAAACAGGAACAATAATTTGTGATTTTACAAAAACACCCTTATATAAACACACAAAAGATTAGAAGATCGTAAAATATAATAGCCAAAATATTCGAATAGTTACCATTAATATATATGTAATTTCTCGACTACATAATTTGAGTAGAAGTTCTAAAGTCTATTGGAGTTGTACTAAATTAATACCGTACGTAAAAGAATAGATCATGCGTATTTACTCATGACAATATCAGCATAATGATATTCCAACGTCTACATTGTCAAAATAGTTGATATAATATATCAATCAATCTAAACACTTCTATTTTGAAAATGTGTAATGACATTGCTAAAAATAGTGATGATATTAAGTTAAGTGACAATGTTAAAATGTACTTACAATATCTAATAAATTGACAAGGTTTGACTTATGTTCTCCAATTCAATCATGACCTATTTTCCATAAATGTAAAGGAATATTAGCATAGTTGGATCATACCAACAAAATAGTGATTAATCACAATCCATTTGGCGAAGTCGTATAACACCAAAGTGGCACCACTAATTGGCTAGAAATATGATCTATAACTTCTATATTGTATGTCATACCTGATTGCACTATATTTTAAACCAAATACATTATTTAGATTTATCATGTCTAGCAACACTGTGAATAAGAGGCTCACCAGAGGTCTCCAAAGGATTCATCTCACAAATTAAAGGTTGAAAATGAAACATATAATAAAATAATTAATGTTTTCTAAACACCATTCTGGTTTGGAGAAAGGTTCAATACCTTGAAGTATATGTACATGTGGAGATGCACATATACCCCTAAACTTCTAAAATGTGCAAAAGTATTCCTCATGTTCCTATACTGGAGAAAATTTACCCTTTTTTTTAAATAAATAAAGGCTTAAATATCTTTTTAATCCCTGCAAATATGACTCATTTTGTTTTAGATCCTTGCAAAAATATTTTTTTATTTTTCATCCCTGTAATATGCAATATTTTGCTTTTAGTCCATCACTAACTCTAAAATCACTTTGTTTAGGTAAAACAATATTGTTAGTTACATAAACATACTAGAAATGTTTAAATTTATCCTTTTACAATTTTTTGAGGTCGATATGAGGGTTAAAACAATTCAAAACTAATCATTCAGATTCCTAAATTATGTATAAAAAACTTCTAAAACATAAAATTTTAAAATTTTTGAATAACATGACAAAGAATCATAGAAAAACCTATTAGTCGTTGTTATCACCATTGATGGACTAAAATGAAATCTAACATAAATTCCAGAGATGAAAAACAAAAAAATAATTTTGCAAGGACATAAAACAAAATGGACTATATTTGCAGGGACTAAAAACATATTTAAACCATAAATAAAATAATTTTATAAAATGCCAAAAACAAATAATAATTTTAAATGTGAAATTAAAAAAAAAACTACTTGTGTCCTACTCTTCATTTTTTATTTTTATATCACAATTTCTTATAGTTAGTATAAAATATTGTCTCAAAACCTTACTATACATCAATGATTCTTTCAGAAAAGTGTTAACATATGTGTTGCAATGTAAAAAAATAATTTTTTATATTATTTGCACTATAAAGTTACAAAATAATGAATTTAATTTTATTATATTTAAACAAATCCAAACAGGGTTATTTTAAATAATGTAACAATGTGTTCGAAATTTTGGAGCAAGACTAAAATTCATATTTATGAATTTAAAATGTTTGAATTACAAGGGAAAAATTGTAATTTTTCAATAAAAAAATTACATATTTAATATTTTAACATAAAAATAAATCTTTAATTTTAACACTTTAAGTTTTTTATTTCTCAATTTCAAAATTTAAATTTATAATTTTTTTGTGTTTTCAAAATTTATTTTATTCATTTTAAGTGAATAAGGGTAAATTTAATCATTTATAGAAACATTGGGGGTATTTGTACACCTTTTAAAAGTTTAGGGGTATATTTGCATTTTTTCCCTTCGAATTTTTTTAAAAGGTCTAGTGATTTGTATGCTTTGTCTAGGGCAGAGATTGTAGGTATATTTTCATTTTCAACTAAAGCTTATAGATTTTGGAACCCAAATCTAGACATTGTGCTCAATAAATACTTTGGTGAAACAAATGCATCGCATCACTATTACATTTCAGCCTATCATGTAGCTCCTAAAAGTATTACAATATCTCTCATAAGTGTTACATTTGTGAAATTTGCAACCTGTATACTACCATTAGTATCATTTTATAATTATATACTACATTTGTTCCAAAGTGTTTTGCAAAATTAACATTTCTGGGCAACCAATAAAAAAGTACATCCTCCATATTGATAATTAATTCAATTTTAATAATATAAATTTATATATTCAGAGATTGTATTAGGATCTCTATAAAGTTGCAGAATTCAAATTAAAATTTAATTAAGAATTTATATTCGAACTAAGTGAATACAATGAATTTGTTTTACCTAAAAAATCAATTTTGCAACTTAATTAGAGACATAATGAGTACTAGATATTGCTTTTAAAAAACACTTGAAAAATATTCATCTTCCTTGTTTACTGACGTGCACTTTGTCGTGTATGCACTCAAAATAATAATCAATACAACACTAATACGTAGTATAGTGAAGTAAGGTTCGTATCCATAGGGAAAAGAATAATTCTCTTTTTACAAAACTAGAAATAAGTAACAAGGAGTTTTTTAGATTGTTTTGATTTAATTAATTAAATACGAAGATGAACGACTTATGTGGTTTACTTAATAGAGATGAAGACTTGGCTTTGCTTTAATTTTATCCACTTAATGAAATGTTCGTCGATCCCGGTTATATCTTTAACTCTCTTCCTCTCGAATACTCAATCAAGGAGTATATATCCAATTCATCGAGGGTAGTTATTAATAACGAGACGTGCTCATTAATAAAACTTACTACTAAGTCAATATGGAACACGTGCCTTAATTAACCCGATAGTAGCAATAAAATGAAAATGAAAACGATTGAGATTGATAACCTCAACACAAGCGGTTTATCGGTTTAATCAATATAATTAATTCCCCTTCGGTTATTAACCATGAAACGCATGCATTAAAAACCCAAGTTTACTACTGTGAAAGGACCGAATTAATAACAAGCCTATTAATCGACCGATTCTAGTAATTATCATGGTTCTAAAAATCGCTCTAGGCGTCCGATTAGTCCCCGCCTAGGCGCTAGGCGGTACTCGGGCGCCCCGATTTTAGTCTAGGCGCTCCGACTAATTGATTTGGCGCCTAGGTGAATTAGTCGGCCGCCTAAGGCGCCTAACTACCCGCCTAGAGCGCTTAATCGGCCGCCTAGTCATATAGATTCATCGAACATTTTATTTTGCTTTTTATTTTAGTATTCTAAGAGATATATGTATCTTTAACTATAACAACGCATATGAAGAAAACCACTAGTTGTTGATTAATATAAATACTATACATGCTTTTATATATGTATTCTTAAGTGTTATTATTATTTATTAATAATTATTACGTAATATTACTTGAAGTTAAGAAGTAAGTATGTATAATATGTTATTAAATGTGAAAACTCTTATCATTCATGCATGCTAGTGTGTGAATGTGTGTTTTTA